CAACATTCCCTTTTTTTTTCAGGCTTGTAGACTTTCCTTCTGCTTTGACTTAAGGTCTGTTACCTTTTGGATGTGTTCCTACAGTGGCTTGTGGTTGCCCCTGCTTATTCCCTTCTCTCCCCAGCCTGTGCCCTGCCTAGAAAGAGAGTGCAGGATTGAGAAAGAACAGAGATCTAGACACTACACTGTAGATCAGAGAGGAATCTGGGTGCAGGAGACCAGAATTATGTTGTCCTAGGACCCTGGATCCGAGTGTGCTCTGCCTGGAATCTCAAGGCGCACAGCCTCTTTAGTGAGATATATGGCTTCATAATTAGCCCGTTGCATTTTTTCACGAGTGCTAGCATCAGCGTTCTGCGATGTGTTTCTCTGATTAACAGCTGCTTTGCAACTATTTCCTTGTGCCACCGATGACCATATTTGTCAAGGAACTCCTGACAGAGTACTGATTTCTTACTAAAACGCAGCATTTCCGCTTCATGAGGGCTCTCTCTTCAGCACTGCCTGGCTTTTAAAGTCAGCCCTTGTTAAGACTGAAGCTGGCTTTGGTCTAGTGCCTGTTAACAGGATGTCTGCTTTAACGCTGGAGTGAGGAGCCTTTCGCAGGCAATTTAATCTGGTGAGCAGTGCGGGAGCAATGGGCACTGCGGTGGGTTCCAGGCCCGTGTGCTGGCCACTTTCCCTGCCCGCAAGGTGCCATCTCCCTTGGTTACAAAGGACTGGACGTTGGTTGCTAAGGTCATCGATTTTTGAATTTTTTTAATACTTTAAACTGACTAGTGAATGCTCACATTTTAGGAGGTAAATGTGTGCATTGTACACAGGAATGCTGGGATTGGTGTCACTCCAAGGGAGTGTCACCAGAGACAGTGATTGCATCAGGGTTTCCATGTCAGGTACCAAGTGCTAAAACTCCCTGGAACCCCAGGTTTGTTTTTAGGCAGGCTGTGTTCTCCTGTCCCCTCAAGCAGAAAACAGTGCGAAGATCACAGTGTGTAGGTCTTTTGTAGCAGAATGACAAACACTTGAGAGTGTCTCTCCAGTGAAGACTGTCAGGACCCTGGGTTCTTCCTGGCGGGCTTGTTTACCTCACACTGTTTAGCATGCAGTCACAGATCACAGGAAATGCACGATACTGAGTTCCATTCTGTTTGAAGCTGCGGATCCTGGTCTCCCTCCCATACAGACCTTGCTCAGCTGGCCAGTTACCTTGAATCTACAGGTATTTTACGGTCTGAAACCTCCCCCACTTCCTCCCCAAGTCATTGTCAGGGACTCCAGTGTAACCACGGTTACAGGACTGCAGAGAAGAGAATTTAGTCTTCTTCAGTTTTTTTTTTTCTTTTTTGGTTTTGTTTTTTGTTTTTTCCCCTGTAGCTTTAAAGGGATAAACAGTGAAATTACAAGCTTCCCTAAAATCATGGAATCTGTGACTGGCAGAGTTATTCTGTTTTGCTTGTTGGGACAATTGGGGAGATGAGAAACTTTGGTTCTGATTCTTGTTTGTTTGTTTTGAGTTCATGCTTAAGCTTAAAATTGAGTTAGCTACTGCCAATTTGGGGTACACTCATTAAGAACTCAGTCAGTCTAAGGTGAGGAGTAGACTCACTCCATAGCAAGTGACTCAACAATGGCACCAGGAGATTTGCACCAGAATTCTCCGTGGCTCGCTGCACTCCCACAACATCTGCAATAAAGTTCCCATCTCCGTTTCACATCTTCGGCCTGAATCTATGTAATTTAGTTGTGTGCAAATATAACCCATGAGTAGTCACATTCCTCTTCTAATTAGAAAGCCAAGTGGTAATGCAGGATAGGCTGCAGGCATGCCATCATCGAACCCAACAAAAGCGTGCCGTGTGGGACTTTTGCAGAGGGAGAAGTCAGCTGAGTTGTTTCATGAAGTTAATGAAAAGTGTCCAACGATAGCTGGTGGAAGGCCCAAACTGAGCACCTTGGCCGTTAATTCAGTGGGCAGAGATCTTTGCATTATGGGTAAGGAGTTTTGGGAAATCTTTTACCATCAATGCATGAATCATGGGGCTATAAAATTCTAGATTGGACGAGTCTTTTACCTTCCTTCAGTGTGCTAGTGTCTTGTGGGGAGGGAGAAGAGTGAAGAGTGGCTGGAGAAATAATTAGTGAAAGGAGAGAGGTTTTCGTGTGTTCACGCTTACGCATAGCTGCTATCTGGGTATCTTTCTTATTCAGCACATTATGTTGAGGCTATTAGTCTGGGTGCTTTATATTTTTGCATCTAGCGTAGTGATATCGGTGCTGTTAAATATGTGATTTGCCTGTCGCCTGCATTTTCAGACAAAGATCAAGGGGAACATAAACAAGCCTCAAAAACACTTTATGTAGGTGTTTGGCAGTATTATTTTATATGACTTGAAATTAGTGAGTGGAAACTTTAAAAGAAATTGTTCATATTTTTGCAAGTTTGAAGTGTGCCGGGACTTTGTCAAATTCCCGTTAAAATAAATACGTCAATTTCATCTCCCTTCCAAATTCATTTATCTTGCTTTTTTAGAAGGTGTTTTCTACTTTACCTGATGTTTAAATTGGATTCGCTCGTTTATGCTGTTCTTTGCTATATCCCCCACGTTTTTCTTAAATGAATTACTAATGACAGAGCACTCCATCATTCCCTCTCTGCAGCCACTTTAAGGAAAGCATGGTGATCTAAACCTTTTAACCTATTAAAGATGATTTTTCCCAATTGAATCAGACCCACCACAGGTGTAATAACTAATCATTTAAACTACACCTGCTATTATGTATTTTTAAGCCATTATGCGTGTTGGATAGATGATAATTCATGTTTATTGCATTGTCCGATGGATCCGTTTTGCCTACACTAGGCTGATTAATGTATTTAAAGAAATAAGAGATGCAATTTTAAAAAAAAAATTGATGGAATGCGCCAAGCACTGCATTGAGTGCACCATTAAACCCATCAGAACTTTGCTCTCTGACCAGAAATGCATATACCAAGGACTGTATTAAAAGAGCAAGGTGAAACCTGGGCGTTTTAGTGGTGAGGTTCTGTCTTCTTTCTCTGTCACAGGGAATTTTGGAAGGATGCAGGAAGGCTTTCTCTTTGTATGGGTGAACGATAGGACTGTGCGGTTCACGTCTCCCGCCCAAGACCTGTCCATCCACATTTCCTGTGATGCCTGGTCCACACAGCACAGCCACAAAGGCTGCCATTTTCCAGCGTGTAGAAGGTGCCTGATTTTCTCAGGTGAAGACAATTACACCTGAGCCATTTGTGCAGTGCAGATTGGTGTTGACCCTAGAGGGCCTGTGATGTGTACTTATCCCTTCTCTTTCTGGGGCATAGCACCCCAGCCTCCCCCTCCCCTTTCCCTTCCCTCTTCCCACCCCCCTTCCTTCTTCCCACCCCCCTTTCTCCTGTGTCTCCTTTGGACTTTTCTTGTTTCTCCTTTTTGTCCTTCCTCTGTACCCTCTCCCCAGTCTCTTCATCATAATGTTGTAGAGGTTTGTTAGATTTTTCTTCCAGTGTAACCTGAGGTGATCTACTTGAGAGGTAAATATCAGTTTTGGTGTTCTACAAGCTCCCACGCTGAATTTTCCGTAGCTTAGAACCGTGGTTGTCCTGCAGTTTGCATTGTTAGTGGGATCATCACCTGTAGGGAGGTGGGCTTGGCTCTCAAGATCCCTAGTGTCTCTGGAGTGACAGGTCTAGCTCTGGAGGGTCAGGATGCTGAGCCTGGCCTTTAAGGAGAGGCCCGGGGAAGCCTCCCACTGAGGGTTTGTTAGGATCTTTCTTTCTTCCTGATCTGCCTTCATTTCGTTTGCTCCTGGGAACACTGGTGTCAGGGCATGATGTGCCACCTGAGCACTGCTCACAGCTACAGCCCTTGCTCTCCAAGTCTTGGCTCAGAGTGACCCTAGTCCAGGATCACAGGATGCCCTTACTTCTGGCCCCTGAGAAGTGAGCTGCATTGGCCTTACCTGACAGGAGGCCGTGCTTTTCCTTTGGTTTTGATGAGGTGAACAGTGCCAGTCATTCCTAAGTAGCCCCTGGACTACTGGAACATCTTGGCACTCACTGCCCTGTAGGACCATGTTTGCTGTGGATAGCAGCAGTCAGGCCATGTAAACAGGACGAGCCTTGCATGTGCTGAGTGTAGGGGCGTCTACCCCCTATCTATTTGTGTATATGAGGATTTAATAAGTAATATTCAGACCAGTCGTAGGGAGATATCCTGTCAATTTGTTTGGCTTTGCCCTTTGAAGGCTCATCAGAATTCAGCTTCACCACATTGGAGGGACCAGTGTGGCCAGCCGTGTGTCTTCTTTACAAACCCCTTCAGCTCTAGTACTTAGCCAGGTACTAGATAGGGAGCATCGTCTCTTCCCTGCCATTCCTTACTGTGTAGTTGGGAGGCAGCCTGAGCATGAGAAGACAGTCTAATTATGTCTTCAATTATATGGTACACACTACAGCACCGAGCAACTAACGAGAGCGCGGGAAGATCGGAAAGGCAAGGCCTCACTGACGTCGGGAAAGCGCTGGGGAGTCAGAACAGGCTGTGCGTGTCTCTGACCTGTGCGTGCGTGTGCGCGTGTGTGCGCGTGTGCACTTGCACAGTGCTGTGTTTGGTGTGTTGTGTAATGTGTTCACAGGTAGAGATGGCGAAGGGAAGCCTTCCCAGAATGAGGCTGTGGACGGCAGAAGGGGACAGTAAGAGTGGCTGAAGCAGCAGCCTGAACCAGGAAGACGGGAGAAGTTCAGTGCAGGTCCTGAAAGCTAAACAAAGAGGGTGCGATTTGTTCCTCTCAGAAACAGGAAGCCAGTGAGGACAGGAGACACCTGTCTTCCACTGAGGCGGGTCTCTAGTTGAAGAGGTAGCTTGCTATATATTTGATCCCAGTAGTATCCTTCTGTCTGTGGCCCTGGGAACTCGAGATTTCTGGCCTTGAAATTCAGATTACTGAAGCTTATTCTTTCTGTTTTATTCCCCCACCAGATTGCCACAGCAGTGAAGTTCCTACAGAATTCCCGGGTCCGGCAGAGCCCACTTGCAACCAGGAGAGCATTTCTTAAGAAGAAAGGTACAGGTGTCCTCAGCAGTGTAGAGTGGCAGTGGCCTGTGGATAGGGGCTGGGGCTGGGGCAGGTGCAAACTATAGCCAGAGACAGGTGTTGAACACATCAAGGACCACCCACGGCTGACCACGTGTGCGGGTGGGACACGGGGGTGAGGTGACCACCCCTCAATGGAATGCACACCTCTTTACTCACAGTGGAGCAGAGACATTACAAGTCAGCAGCAGATATGAGACCAAGAACAGCAGGTACAGTCAGCTCTCAGTAGCAGAACTGGCCCATTGAATAAGCCTGGAGGACTCCTGCTTCCTGGTCAGGCTGCCAGTCACCTGACTACAAAATGACCTTCTTGGGCTAGGAGAGGTCAGCTGCTTCAGTAAAGAACCACAGAGAAGCAAAAGACAAGGGAAACGAGGTGAATAAACACAGTCAAGATAAGGCCAAGCTTGGGTCAATCTGATTTCCAGATTGAAGTGGTAGATACCCGATTTTTATGGAATTTCTGTAGGCTGGGATAAAAATGGATCCTGACAAGTTCTGTATTATTGAAGCAGATAGAACCTGTTCTAGTTCTATTGGAATTGAGGGTATTTTTGGGTTTTTTTTGGTAAAGCAAAACCAACCATTTAACCAAAAAAAGAAGGCAGACTTTTCAGTCTTTGGGCTTTTACTTTTCTAGAGATCTAGGAAGCTTCTTAAAGAGCTTTACATAACACTTGGGGGGTTCTTTACCCCCAAACTAGTTTTTCTTCAAAAACTAGAATATTGGCCTCAAAATTCTGGTGATTCTGTCATTTTTTTATTGGAATGGATGATGGGATGTTTTCAAGGCATTTCTAAGCACCCCCATGGTATCCCACTGAGGTGCTGCTCTGGGACCAAAACAGTGCTCTAACCACTGCCAGGGCCCCACTCACAGGGTTTGGGCACAGTAGGACCAAATATTTCAACCACAGCAGCAGACCCAAGGCACCGTCCACATGAAGGAGTTGCATGCTTGCTGGCTGCTAACCCCCGTCATTAGGAGATTATTAAAATTTGGAGTGTGTTGGCTGGCCTCTCTACTCCGCAAGCATCATGCCATAAAAGAGATTTTACTTGAAATATGTGTACCTATAGGGAGTAATTAATCATAAAAGCTTGGGGATTTCAGCTCTCTCATCAAAGCATTGAAGCAGGGGAAAGCTGAGCCTAAAAGCTGAGCTGATTACCCGGGGTAACCTGAGACAAAATCTATGGCTGCCGAGAGATCCTTAGCCCAGTACATTGTGCAGTGTTATAACTGTCTGATCTTCTCCTCCACAGACAATGACCAGTTAGTCCTCATTTTCTCTCAAACGCAGCTGGGTTAGAATTTCATTTGCAGAAGGTATTTAGAGCAATTTAGAGACAAATGTCTCTGGTGTTTGCTCGGCACTTCCCCACCGCAGGCTTTGCTGAGCAGTTTTAGTATCAGGAGCTCCATCTAATCTGTTTAATTTTAATAAATCCCTGACTGGGAGAGGGAGAGAGCGAGAGCGAGAGGGAGAAACTCTGGACCAAATAATACTTCTTTTGAGTCACTTGGCTCATAACCACTATAGAGGGGGAGCTGATTTATGCAATTATTATTTGTTGTTCTTTAAAAAAAAAAAAGAAAAGAGAAAAGGAAACAAAGAAGGAAGGAAGGAAGGAAAACATCCAGCCATTGATTAAGCAGTTCACCCAAGAGTGAACATCTACTCCGTGTCATACCCTGATCTTTCCACTGGGAATTCACAGAGAACAGAAAAGACAAAGTTCCTGTCTTCACAGAGCTCTGTCCTAACAGGGCGGGGGACAGGACAGGACAGGAACAAATGGCAAAGCGAAGCCCACGATATGTCAGGTGGCAGGTGCCTGGGGAGGAAACGAAGCAGGGAAGCGGAGATTAGCAGCTCCTGGGCTGGAGGGGGTGTGGTTTAAAGTCTGTCAGCCTGCTCTGAGGGGCTGCGTTTGCACAGGGCTGCGACAGAGATGAGTGTTGGTCACAGAGTGGACTCCAGACTCAGATTAGTCTTTAGAAACTTGGGTGTTGGGAACCCAGGGAGGCTACCTAGCCCTTGTTGTTCTACAGAGAACCACACTGGCTTACTCTGCACTTAAGCCCGGAATCACGGAACCTAATCTCCCATCTCCATTATCCTCTAAAATGCTCCTTCGCTCGGTAATTATCCATTTCCGAGGTGAATCCCAATAGAGTAAGTTCTGGCAGGACCTTTTCTGGGCAAAGAATTCAAAGGTTTGATGGGTGTCTGGGGAAGAAAAGCCCCTTCGTGGATTTAAACTTCACTTTTTAAATTCCCGATTATTCCTTGAGTCAGGCTTATGCAACCAGCACACTTGGCAGTGTCCATAGTGAAGACCAGCAAGGAGCACCTCCCCTGTCCCTCATGGTGGCTCTGGAAGGAAGAGGGTTGGCGTGCTGGAGGGGAGGGATTGAGGCCTTGGCACCTTGCTATAGGTCTTCCCTGCAGGGCCGTGGCAGTGGGGGCTTGGGACACTAGCTTTGGGAGAGCTCTCAGCTACTGTAGCCTTGACTTTTCCTAGCAATGTCTCTTCAGGGAATTGCTGTAGGGCACTGACTTGAATTATAATCTGACTTTCTTTTTTTTTTCTTAATAAACATCTCTTTCCTGAAAAAGCAAATCCAATTTTGTTTTTCTTTTAATATTATTTAATATTTAATATAGAAATTGAGGTCCCTGTGGTACATGACAGATCAGTGGGAAATGTGGGTTCTGTTGAGTTTCTTTTATTGTGAATCCACAGCCCCAAGCAGGAGCTACATTGTGCCTCTGTTCCTGACAGGTTAAGTGTTGAGCTCTCTGGGGGCTGGGGAGGGCTGAAGTGGGAGAGCATTGGTCTGCAAGGGTATGTCTTCACTGGTTTGTTGTTGTTTGCTTGTTTTCTCATCTCCTTTAGATGCTTTAAAGTCGGAATGTAGAGTCATTAATGAGAAACATGAAGTTATTAGAATCATTTATCATTTTCTTTGAAGTTTGTATTGCCATTTTATGTAATTTACAGCAATTCTTCCTATTATCAGGATTTTTTTTTTTGATGAAAGAGAAAAGCAGCTGTTTACCTTTAGAATATTAGAATGAATGTTTTTGTATTGTGCCCAACTTCTTGATTCTATAGATGACACAGCCACGGAGCCACGGTAGAGTCAGCCACACATGACAGTAGTTGAACTATGTGGGGTTTAAGCCCTTATAGAGCTGGTCTATATATAGATGCTTTTCTTACCAAGCAGGCAGTAGGCTGCCTCTCAGCAGGCTGCATCCCAGGGAGCAGAGTAGCCTAGAAACGGCAGTAGCAACCTTCCAGAGAGTTAGAGACTTGGAGAACAATTGTCCACAACTGCTGTTGATTTGATGCCACAAAATGTAGGATAGGAGGCAGGCCACTTCCCAGCATGCTCTGCAGGCTGAGTACAGGTTGGGCAATTGAGCCTCCTGTGCCCGGGAGGCTGAAGGAAGATGAGGTGAAGGAGAGGGTGCAGCTGTCATTACTGCCCCACGTAGCTCTCAAAAGCAGGCTTTTCTGCTAACCCTTTGGAGTGGGAGGGTGGTGTCTTCTCAAGTGCTTAGGCCAAGGCCTTCCTCCCCTGCCCATGGCTTTCTTCTCCCAAAAAAGGGGACAGAGTGCCTCCTTCTGCTTCTGGAAGCCACCTCCTTGTGGAAATGAACTTGGGGAAGAAAGAATCCTGATGGGCTCAACCTTGGTGGTGGGTAGAGGTGAAGGGCTTCTCTCCCTGGAGTTCTTCAAGGGGGGAGTAAATTCTTGCACAGGTTTCAATTTAACTCTCTTTTATTACTTTTCTTTTTTATCATTTACGTCCATTTCATGAGGTAGTTTGCATGTCCTTGAATGGAGTCTCGTTACCATGAAAGCTTTTTTAGCATTGATTTCATAACAGTCTTAATTTAATAGCTCCGTCATTACTGAGAAGCTCTGGGAGTGGGCCTGGCTTTCCAGGTCACTGACCTTTTAATTACAAACCTTGTTCTGATGGCCAGGTTATCGACTGGACAGCTCCCAGCTTGTGCCCCAGGATGAAAACGAAAATAACTGTTTCCTCCCCCATCTCTAGGAAAAGAAGTAACCTCTTGTGTTTCTAAAATTAATTTTCTCCTTCAGCTTTACTTTATAATTAATTCTTTAATGTGTCTTAGTGAAAGCAGAAGTCTTTTTATAGAGCTTTTGTTCCTGGAGCTGGGGTCCAGCAGATAGATAGCTTAGGGGCAGGGGGTGGACATCTTGCCAACACTACCCCTTGCTTGACTGCAGCTGAGCTGGAAGGAGTAGTGTTGGCCCTGTGAGGGGGCCGTCTGGCCCTTCTGAGTCTTTCTTTGTTCACGAGACATGGATCATGGCATCAAGATTTAGACGCATTCCAGTGTTTGCTGCAGTAATTGAACCTGGGACATCACAGACATTTTTAAAGTTGTCCCTACTGAGTCCCTCCCTCCCTCATTGTTTTTGTACTGGGGACCAGATCTGGGGCCTTGGGCATCTTATGCAAGTACTCTGCCACTGAGCCCCATTTGCAGACCCAGTGAGTGCTTTTTTTCTTGTTGCTGTTACCTGTTAGCCTTAGGTGACTGGGGGAATAAGTACCCTAGCTGGTGAGCTCTGCTGTCACAGACTTGATATGAACAGGTTGGCCCAGGTTCTCTGTCACACACTGATGACGATGATGGGTAAGCGGGAGAGCGGGACAGTGGGACAACAGTCCCAGTTTGCCCTGCTGCTCAGGTTCCCACTAGATTTCTGTGTAGTGACAGCCCCTCTGCCCTGGGCAAATAGTGAAAGCTTTCCTTGGGAGTGTGAGGCAGGGAGAAAGACAGATGGAGGAGGCAGGCGGAGTGAGAGGCAGCTGCTCACCATTGGCCCACAAGTCAGCTTGGGATGTGTGTGTGCGTGCCTGTGTGTGTGTGTGCCTGTGTGTGTGTGTGTGTGTGTGTGTGTGCGCGCGCGCG